TGGCGGGACAAGTGAGTCTATAAAAGGCATGTTTGTTTTTCCTGGCTGTTTCAAATATGTATTTCCTGGAGGACTTCGCATCTGATGGGGTCATCAGAAGCACATGTGCGATTTTCATCTTTCCAAGTAATTTCTCCTCTCCTACCGTCCTTTCCTTAGCAGCACTGTATTCTGATTTGACATTTTACCTGTTCGTCCACCTTATTTCTACTAAATCAGCCTCTCCGTCCCAGATTTTTGGTGAGGTTCCAATTTGTTTCGGTGTGTCTGACTGGGTCTTCTTGGGTTTATTTGTTTGTGTTTTGATTTTGTTTGTTTGTTTGTTTGTTTTGGGGGGGCAGGTGTCTAAAACTAATTATTTTTTCCTACATGGCTTGGGCTGGAGGTGATCTGCCGGCCAGCTGCACACCGAGACTCCGGATAAAGGCGGACCCGATATTCAGACCTGGAGACGGAGCGTTCTTACCCAAACCCGGAAAGAAAAAAAAAAAAAAAAAAGCCGTTAATAAATGATCCCCTCCTCCCGTTTATTTTAATAGTAAGGAGATGGACCTTCTTCCCGAGTAAGGAGGCGCCTCCTCGATGCATGGAAGGGAAGCTTTGAGCACCGCTCCCCGTAGCAAAATAGGAAGAAGGTTATCCCGCAGCCCAGATCCGACGTTTATGTATTTTTTCCAAATCCCAGAGCTACTCTCCCTCAGACAAAACCCTCACCTTTTCCTTGTGTACTGAAGCACTGAAAGTTCCCTTCAGTATATTTTTCTTGGCTGCCTGAGCCTCAGCGTTTTGATTCACTAAGCAGAAGAGCTCTGCAGTTAGGGCCAGTGCCCAGAGTTTTCATCGCCACCCCCCTACATTATTTGTCATGCTCAAGTGAGGGTTTGTTCAAGGCAAAAGCCTGCTTGCTCATACTGGGCTGCATTTGTTTCTCCTAAAGAAGGCAAGAGATTTTGTTTCCGGGTCTGGTAACTGGAGCCCCGGTGCCTTACACAAACATCGCTGGGCAGGCAGGGGCACTCCCAAGGCTTTTGGTTCCGGGGCTGCAGCAGCTCCCCTCAAACACATTGAGATGTTGGTTAGGCCCAAACTGCTGCGCCAGGTCTGGGGAGAAGAGGCAAAGGAGCTTTCTCCAGGGGATCTCACAAAAATTTGCCAAACAGGCGGCTTCTCCCGTGTAGATCACATCGAGTGGCTCTAAAAATGGCTTCTATTATCCAAAGGAAAATGCAGCCATCCTGCCTTGTAGATGGGAGTCCTGATTACCCCCAAGAGCCTGGAAGGGCTTGCAGATGGAAGGTGTTCAACCAGCAAGCTCTGGCATACGGTCTCCTATTATAGGAAAGGCTCTTCGTCCTATAAACTTGCTACCTGTCCCCAGAAAAGTGGCGGAATTTGTGCCACATATCCAGTAGCCTGTCGGGATGCTCTCTCATCGCATCCATCAGTATTTCCCCTTCAGAGTGATGAGCTGCGCCTTGCCGGGAAAGACAGAACTGTTTTCTGTCTCAAATGAGCTATTTCTCTCCCTGCTCTCTTCAGCACAGTTTCATGTCCATGAACGCTCATACAATAAAATACAGCAGGGAAAAAAACCCCAAAACCCTCTTCCCTAGTACACGTGAATATTCAGCACCCTGCTATCTAAAGGACTGACTCCATTTACATTTGCCGCAAATGCTGAATACGTTGTGTAATTTGGTAAGATTATATGTCGAGGTCAAACACTGCATACATATATATTACATATACACATACGTACATATAGAGGGGTGTGTATGTGCATATAGGTATGTGCGTGTGCCTATATGAGACAGAGAGTACGGCTCTTCCCAAATTGTCCAAGCTATGGGGCATCTGCCGTGCAGTTTGTCTGCCACATCCTGGCCTCAGTCCGAGCGTAGCCAGGGGAAGTTTCATGGATAAAACCTGCTGGAACCGAAGTGTCTTTTTATTTATTCCCCAAAACCCATGCGGGTACCCCAGGAACAACCAACCCTGAGATATGTCCTATGTAACCTAATGCTAGTGAATCATAAGTAATCTGTTTAAAACCAAGGATTAGTAACGTCAGTTTCGGCATATTCCTCTATCGGGAACTTTTTTTGTGCGTGGAAAATTGGAGGGATTTGGGCTAATTTTCCAAACATCAGTACTAAGGCAAGTACGGTCTGATAAAATGAGTCTTAACATGTTCGGGGTTTCAGGTTGCATTACACACGTCCCATCATAGGGGCTTTGAGCTGTGTGCATCCTTAATGCCAGATTGACCTGCAGATTTTTTTTCTTACTGCATGATTTCTGTTTCTAGCCATCTTTAAGTGGCTTCAGCGACTCGCTGTCTCTTAATCCATCCATATATAAGTGATCCTCACTGAAACGTACATGAGTTTTCACAGATCCCACTCTCTCAAAGGGCCTTTCTCACCGTGTCAGCTCTTCATTTACTTTCCCCGATCGAATTCTGCCTCCTCTGTGCAATATGACCTTTTATTAATCACGTAAACCCCATCCTGTTTTCATACTGCCTCTTTAAATATTCCACATCTTGGCTTTACTCTTTCTTATTTTTTCTTTCTCCAGCGGGCAAAGCCTTAAGGTTTTATTTCGGTTTTGAGGCCATGTTTTATTAACCCAGATATTCTGTTTTCCTTCCCAAACTTATTTCTATCTGCAAAAATACAAAATAATTAACTATCCAATTAATTAATTCTTTGCCATATCGCACCACTGCGTGTATTATTTTACAGGGAAAATATTTTACAGATATTTTCTATAGCTCTAGAAAGCATTGGTTCCTCTACTTGCAAGGTGTTTATTTTCAAAGAAATAAAGTCCATAGCTAAAATTATTAGATGCCCCTCAGCGGAAATAACAGGATCCTCTGTTTAGACCCTAATGCACGTAAGACCACACTGGTATGCTCCTACAGCACAGGCATCAACCGCATCATCTCTGCTGCTGAAAAAATCACCCCTAAGTGCAGGAGCGGGGGAAACATAAACCCGAATATACCACATTGTCTCCCATAAAATATTGCACCCCGCTGCACCCCAGCATAAAGAGAAAACTGGATTTATAGCCGCGACTGAGGGAGAGCTTTTTTCGGAGACCGACCCTCCCCATTGCCGACATCCATACATTCCCTTCTACAGACTTTTAACGGGACCTCAGAGAAATGTGCTTTTAGCGGACACCCGCAAACGCACAGAGGCGCTAATCCAGACCCAGATTACATCAAATTAGGACACTGCCCGCACAATACTCCCACTGATTGAAATTTCAGCCAGCATCTGAAACCTGGACACGATCTTTGCTGATCTACACATTTTTCTATGCCGCTTGAAGTCAAATCGTTTTCTCGGTTTATTTTTCACAAGAAAATCATTCCAAAGAAGATTAAAAAAGACCAAAAATGAAGTTATAAAGCTGTTTGCAAGTTCTGAGAACATTTTAAGCACATAACACGCTCGGCTTCTAGCAAAGAACACGTTCGGCGAGGGTGCAAGCTGCAAGAGTCCTGAGCTTTTTAATGGGGCAAACTAGCAAGCAACTTGCCTGTCTCTTTGGCCACGCGGTGCTTACAGGAAAGGAAATTAAAAAGAAAGAAATAAAAAGGAGAGGAATAGAGAAATCCCTTTCCCAGCATCCCGCAGGCGCCGGAAAGGCGTTTGCAGCCCAGTGTCCGTGCTGGACCCCGGAGCGGGCTCTGGCCACCCTCGGTTTGCCCACCCGCCCTCGGGACGAGGTGGGGGGAGAGGGGGCGGCTTTTTGCCGGGGCAGGCGGGCACCGGGGCAGAACAGCCCGCAGCCTGCGGGGCCGTGCCCTCGGGGAGCAGGTGGGCGAGCTCTCCGCTTCCCTCAGGGCCCGCACCGCCCGTCCTTCCCCGTGCCCTTGGCTCTCCGCTCCCGCAGGGCCACTTCGTCTGCCCGTGGCGCTCGGCGCTTCCCCGGCCGGGCCGGTAAGGGCCCCGACGTGCCCGGGGCCGAACCGGGCAGGGTGGCGGGGCTCTGGCCAGCGTCCCCGCCAGGGCACCCGCTCTGCTCCGCTCAGGACTGAGCCCGAAAACACCCCGCGGGCGAGTGAAGCAGCCATACGCCGAGCTAGATTTCTAAATTTTATTATAAAATAAAAGCAGAAATATTTTCCAAAGAATGTATTCACATAATATAAACAATAAACAAAACTAAGGTGAGTGACTTGCGGTTGATACTGTCATTTAGGTCTAAACTTCAGCAGCAATTCCTGTTTTCTTTTTAAAGCCCGCTCCAGCCCGCGTTACACCCCGAAGGGAAAGTCTACCTCTGCCTTCCGTCGGGCCGGAGCTGGGCCATCATTTCCTTTCCCACCCAGCAAATGGCGAAAGCACCACATGGACAAGGCCAAAGAAGCTGTCTCTCTGCATAGCATCAGCTACAAGAAGGTTACAGAGTCTGCCTAGAGCGCGTGTTGCTGCTATATCTTGACTACGACTTTTGTATTCTTAGTTGAAATTGTACATCGTACACCTGCCACGGATACATAGCTACAATAGAATAACGGGAGCGATGTGTAACTTTCAAACAGGCATGGCAAGAGCAGCCTTGCGTTCCCCTTTCTTCCCCACCCCCCCAAAAAAATAAAAATATTACGATGTGCCTCTTCCCACACAGACCGGCCCGATCGAGTGACAACACTGAGAGATTTGTGAAGTTAAGGCTGGAATGAGCTGCTACACCGATCAGCCTTACAGCCTGCCGTGAAAATCACGGCTCCTGTCCAACAGTCCTTACACGCCTGAAAACGCCTGTAAGCAACCCTTAAGGCTTTTCACAATATCAGCTACCCACAGCGGAGTCCACTACCTTGCAAACCTGCAGCCAGCCTGCTGCCAAAGGGCACAACACTTCTACTAAGGTGTTTGTCATTGCTTTCAAAGTCCCTGGTAAGATTAAAGGAAAAAAAAAATAGGAAAAATTGAGGAAGGGAGGGCTGGCGCGAAGGAGTGAGCGTGTACACGGTTTTAAGAGCCCAGATCGACCAAGTTAGATGACATGGGGTTGAGAATGGAGTCCTGCAAGCTGTGGTGGTGCATGGGGTCGGCGCTGGGCACGGGGATGGCGCTGGGGCCCTGGGGGTGGCCCAGGCCGTGCAGGGGCTGCAGCCCGGGGTTGGAGCTGAGCAGCAGCGCGGGGCTGGAGGAGGTGTGATCCGGGGTCCCTGACGGCGTCTTCTCGTCCTCTGAGCTCCCCAAAACTGTCTTATTCCCGTTCATTGACGCCGAGAGCGGGTTGTGGCTGTTGGAGTTGGAATTCTCGTTGTTTTCCCTATAGGAAACACAAAAGAGGGAGGGAAATCACCATGTGGCCGTCGCTCCGGGGTGCGCACCGCGGGAGCGGGGGCGGCGGGGAGCGGGCTCCGGGGAGCAGCGAGCGGAGGGGAGCAGTGCAAAAACTGTAGGTTTAAAAACTCTGCCAACCTCCGAGGCCTCTTCATCTGGCACTTAGGTCTAAGGTCCGCTGAGCTTGTAAACAGTCTCCCACCAGCCCAGCGGAAAGTGTCACTTTGCCAAACCGTAATTTTCTGCATTCAAAGAGTTTGCACAGCGTGAGGAGGGGGGCGGAAGGGAAGGGAGGAAGACTTTATTTAAAAAACAAACAAATAAAAAAACCCCAAAACTTTTTAACTTTAAAACTGCCCTAGGAGCTGAAGAGATGTTCAACCATGACTTCTCCTGAGGAGGCCAAAGCCTGGCGAGCTGCAGGCAGGATGGCTCCGTGCAGCCCCGGGCTCACATCAGGAGGGAATGTCTTTTGCTTAAGTAACTGGACATGGTTTCTTTTCCCCCTCGCCCTGAGCTTCAAGCTCAGAACATAGCCCAATATGGACGATAAGGAAAGCGAACAGAGTTAACCCGCTGCTTTCCTCTCGGGAAATGCTCGGCACGCCCGCCGCTGCTCCTCCGTCCCGTCCCGGAGCGGCGTGGGCGCAGCCGGGACGGCCCTCGCACGGCTCCGCGGCGGGGGCAGCCCGCACCACCGGTGCGCTGCCGACTAAGGCTCGGAAAGGCAGGACTTAGTTTCGAAATTCATCACCGGGTGAATACCAAGAAATCGCTGGAGGCGGGCCAAGCCCTTGCAGATATATCTATATATTTATATATCTATATATGAGGGGTTTTTTCGGTAATGTGAGTGGTAAGAAGAGGTGGGGGCTGCCGTCTAGGCAAGGCTTCCTCGGCCTACATAGCCCTCGCAGAAATACTTTAGACACCGTTCTGCCTGAACTACTGACGGCAGTGCAAGCCTTTTTAAAAGCTTCTGCGGAAGTTTTGTAACACGCTCTCTGGCAGAGAGGCCCTATCCTGCAGGATTTGGTCGAGAGAAGTTAAGCTATAGCACGGACGGGTTTTCCTCACTAAAGGCTGCATGATGTGGCTGGAGACACTTAGTGCCAAAAAAATAAAAATAGACAAGAAAGCTCTGTTTGAACAGGTTTCCTTGAGTGGATGGCAATCCCATGAACGGTCTGTTTTCCAACGCCTGGAGTGTAATATTAGGTTGAGTGTATTTTTCAATGTCAAAAATATTATTTGTCTCTAGAGACCTTTAAAATTTGATTCCTCGGGAAAAAAAAAAAAGAAAAAGGAATGGAATAAGTGTAACCTTCATTTCCTTTGGATATTTGAAGGTGAGTCCCTGCTATCAGCAATAAAAAGGATCTCTAACATCTCGTAAAACCAACACTTGTGAGGATTTGAAGGAAAACTAAAGCGCTAGCACAGTTTCGGGAAATGAATAGAGCAAATCTGTGCCCGAATCTGCCGGGCTGCACAGCAGGGCGGCCGCGGCGCTGCCCGTTTCCAAAACACGGCTGGCAGAAACCAAAGATAGAAAGAATTCTCCTCGGAGGCACGGATCTACAGGATTCTGATCCGCTAATTAACCCGCAGATCATAGAATCATACGATTGCCTGTACGGACCGGGCAGTTCAGTGAGCTAGTGAACGCAGAAAGAGAGCCCTTTTTGCTTCTTCGACCCGTCTTCCTAAGGCACAGGGAACTGCTGACGGAAAAATCGCCCCGAATAGCCAGGGATGTAGGCATTAACCTCTTCCCGGCGATTAATGGTCCCTTCACTCCACTTAACGTGAAAAACACAGCTGCAGAATCATATTCGGCCTACGGACACACACCTATTGACGTGCGTTCATGAGCACCTTGCTGGGCAGCGAATAAGAACTGCAAGGTCATGAGCGAGGCAGGAAGTCGCTCCTCTCAGACCTTGGTCCAGGTCTCCAGGAGCCCAGGACAGAGGATGTATTTGCTCAGACCAACACTCAGACCCACGCGTTGCCGGCTGCCCCCCGGCTGCCCCTTTCTGCCCCGGAGTACCCTCACGGACACGCTCCGAGCTGTGCGGGGCGCGGAGCCCTCGGCCTCTCCCGACGGGCCGCGGACCCTCACGGGCACCTCCGGCCGCGGCTCCTGGCCGGGCTCCTCGCCGGGCTGCGGCGGAGAGGAGGCGGCAGCGCTGCTTAACCGGGACTCGCCGCAGGCCGTGTGAAGCGTCCCTGGCAGCCGGGGCTGCCCCGGGGCCGCCGCGCCGGCTGTGCGGGGAGCGGGGAGTCGGCGGGGAATGGGTCTCGGCCGCCTCTCCCGGGGCTACTTTTGGCGCACAGACGCCTTCACCGAGCCCCCAGCTCGCTGGCCTCTGGTTCTTTGGGCGCCCCCGAGGCGGAGAGCCCCCGTCCCCTCCCGGCGGGCCTTCCGCAGCCGGGGCCGGGGCCGGGGCAGATAGAGAGACCCGGGGTGAGCACCGGGGTCGGGGAGCCGCGGGCGTCGGGGGAAGCCGTGGGAAGCCGTACCTTTCCTTGGCCTCGGCGGCGCGGTCCCGCTGCCGGCGGTTCTTGAACCAGTTGCTGACCTGGGTGGTGGTGAGGCCGGTGGCCTCGGCCAGCTCCCGCTTCTCGCGGGGGGACGGGTAGGGGTTGTGCGCGTACCACTCTCGGAGGACGCTGCGGCTCTTCTCCTTGAAGCAGTAGCTGGTCTCCTCGCCGTCCCAGATGGAGCGGGGCAGCGGGAACTTGCGGCGCACCCGGTACTTGCCCACCGCCCCTAGGGGTCGCCCCCGCAGCTTCTCCGCCTCGATGTAGTGCGCCTTGAGCCAGAGCTGCTGCAGCTTGGGGTGGTTGTGCGCCGAGAACTGGTGGCTCTCCAGGATCTTGTAGAGCTCGCGGAAGTTGCCCCGGTGGAAGGCCACCACCGCCTTGGCCTTCAGGACGCTCTCGTTCTTGTGGAGGTGCTCGCAGGCAGGGAGGGACCAGAGGAACCGCCCCAGCCGCTCGATGTTGCCGCCTTGCTGGAGCACCTCGCAGACGCAGGCCACTTGCTCTTGGGTGAAGCCAAAAGTCGGGAGCATCGACATGGTGAGCCCTGCCGCGCCGCGCGCCCTACGGCCGCATAGAGGGGAGCGGCGCGGGGCGGCGGGCAGCGCCCGGCATGCGGGGCCGGCCCCGGGGCGGCGGCGCCCGGCGGGGCCCGCTCGGGCGTCACGGCCGGGCGCGGGGGGCCGCGGCCATCGGCGGCGCCCGGCCCCGGGGCGGTCGCGGGAGCCGGGGAAAAAATGCGAAGAGCGACGAAAAAAGTCTCGAGAGCCCGAGCGCGGGCGGCTTTTCCGCCCGGCCGCCGCCTCCTTTTTGTAAGTCCAAGTTGCGAGAGTAACTTCGTGCCTCTTTTGTCTCCTATCTGCAGCGCTCGCAGCGGCCGCGGCTCTCACACCCCCACCCCCCTCGGCCGCCGGTTTGGGATCTCCCTGCTTCCCCCCCACCCCCCACCGTCAGATCCCACATAATATAGTGGTAAAGCCCTGCTCACTCGCTCCTCTCTCCCTCTCGGAGTTTTCCCCCCCTTTCTTTCTCTCTCTCCCTTTTTTTTTTTTTTTTTTAATAATATTATTCTAAGCTGGCATGAAAAGTGATTATCCGCGCTGTGATTGGTCCGGTTATCTGACCCGGGGACTGCCAGGAGAAGACAATAGTTTTAGTCAAATTATTTGCCATGGTGACGCTGTCAATCAGGGGTAACCCGATCTGTTTTGAGGTGGCTCCCCGGCTGGGTTGACAGATTGCTCAGATCCACTCAGAGGCGGCCCTGAGAGCTGAGATATTAGCTAGCGAGGGAGAAATTTCCGTCGTGATTGACGCTGCAGGCGCCCGTCGGGGGAGAGGGGGAGCGCGGAGCCCGGGCCCCTGCTCCTCGCCGCAGGGCACTGCGGCGCGGCGGGACGGAGCCGCTGTCTCGGCCGGGCCCCGCCGTCCCGTCTGGATCCCGCAGCCCCATCCCGTCCCCGCCGCTCCGGACGGACAGCGGGCTCTGCTGTCCCCGGCAGCCGCGACTGCGGTGGGGGGAAAAGCCCGTCTCCGGCCCTTGCAGGAAAATTTCTTTCTAAAAGCGTTCCCTCATAGCCCCTCTCCCCAGCGCCCAGTAACCACTGTTGGAGAGTTTTATAAGGAAGGGGCCTCTTATGTACAATGGAGACCCTGTTCGTGACCTGGGATCCCATTACACGCTTCTCGTACCTGCCCGGGAGCGAGAAGAAGGCACGATGATACGGGGCCGGAGAGGCTTTGCCTCTCCATGGATCGCCGGCCGTGCCCCACCGCACTCTGGTGGGAAGGGCGCTGGCGTTTGTGATCACTGGACGTCGGACATTTACTTATACCCGATTTCCAGAGCGTGTCGGAGTGTTTCATCCAGGAGAGGAACACGTGTAAAAGTGTAAAAGTCAGAAACACTTCGCTCGATTAAACGGACCCTTATCACCCACGCGTGCCCTTTGCACACCGCGTTTACCGACTCTGCGGGGCACGGACCCGCATCATTTCCCGTCCCTTGTCGGTCTACACATAGTGAAAGGCGAGGGAGAGAGGTGGTGCAGGCTGCAAGGTCGAGGGAGAGGGTGCGACGAGCGGGTGAAGGGAGCCGCGGTGCCTCCTCGGGAGCGGCGCACGGGGTGGCGGCCAAGTGGGACCGCCGGGGCGGAGGCTGGCGCCGGGGATCGCCCAGGTGAGGGCACTCGGGAGGAGCCTCCCGGCCACAAACTCGGGGTAGTTTCCATGGCCTGTTATGTTCCCCTTTTGCTGAGAAATAATAATTAATCCCACAAGCTCCTTCTACGGTATTTGCAGTCCTGACAGGAGAGGTTTCTGCAACTGTGGGTTCCTGCCACGGTACCTTTTTAGCCGCCACGGCGCGTCAGGGATTTAGCGAAGCCACAAGAGACCGGGCTGCGGCTCCCCGCCTCGCAGCCTGAGCCTCCGCGGCCGACGGAGCGAGCCTCGGTGCCGGCCCGGGCGGGCGCAGCGGCCGTCCCGGGGGAAGGCGAGGCCGGGGCGGCGGCGCGCAGCCCGGCGGCTCCCGGCGGCGGCGGCTCCCGGCGAGGAGCCGCGCCAGGGCTGCGGCCGGGGGAAATGCGGCGGGGGAGGGAGGCAGGAGGAGGAGGAGGAGGAAGAGGGCGGAGTAGGGGGGCAGCGGATCAACCGTGTCCAGCTCCCAGCATGTCCGAACGCCTGTGTATATCCGCGGCGTACGCCCGTACTTTCTCGAGTGCACTCCGCTGTGGAAGCTGCGTTGTCCTCCTACCTGTCCGTCCGGCCTTTTCACGAGGGCTGCCATAGGGAAGCAGTGGCAAGCGGGCGGTTCCCGCCCTGGATCCTCCGGGGACGGAAAATAGAGGCTTCTTTTTCAGGTGGAGAAAATAACAGCTCAAATTCGTTTAAAACAAAATCGGGCATGCTGGTGACGGGTCGGTAAAGTCCCCTCGCATGATGCTCCCTCCGTTCTTTTACAAAATGAGCTCTCAATCGCTTAGTGCCTCGATTCCGGTCGGTCTCTGCAGGATTCAAACTGCGCTTGTTTGTAAACGAAAGCATCCCGATCCCAGCGCTTCCTAGCCAACCTAAGCGGCTGGATAGTTCATAGCCGCAGCTGTAGCCAACAGTGGCGGGACGGCACAACCGCGCCACTTCAGAGCTTGCTCTGAGCAGAAAAGGCAACAAAACCACAAATCGCCTCTCCCGTCCCCGAGCTCTGCGCGCACACACCGTGTGCCTTCCGCTCCCTCCCGCAACGGGGACCGTGGAAATAATGAAAAATGCAAGCGAGGTCTGAGCTGTGTCTCCCGCCTCCATGCTACCACGCTCGGTCGCCCCACGTTTATTAGGGATATACCTGACTCCTCTTCCTCTCTTTCTATCTCACAACCACAGTGGTTAAATCTGAACGGGAGCAGCTCTTAGCCCTAGCTGGAAAGGAAATGTCAAAACCTGTTGCATAGATTTAGACCTGAAAAAGATTCTTCTTAGCACCCTAAAATGTGAGTACAGTGTTTACACTCCAGCTCCTCCGTAGGCGCTTTCACTTTAGGCTGCCTTAGCCGGACTGCAGCTTGCATGTAACTTAAGTTCACTTCCCGGAGAGCTGGGCAGAGGCAGGGCTACCCCCTTCCCGGGCACCCTGTATCAGCTTGCGTCCTAGAGCAATCGTAAATTAGTGACATCTGGATCCAAATTCTGCATAACTTCTTTTATCTTTAGGGAAAGAGAAAAATTTTCCTACGTGCTAGACGTCAGAGCAGATACTGGCTGCACAGCCGCAGCGCGGGGCGAATCGCATGGTAGCGCCTTGCGAGCGAAATAGGCGACCGGGAGAGGAGCTTTTTTTGGCATTTGCGAAGGCTCTCGTTCCCTGACGATATATTTCAGAGCAGGAGCAGCGAATCGCCTGCTCACATTTGCCCCTGGACCGACGAGATGGTTTCGCCTGGCTACTGCCAACTGTCTCCCGTTTAGCTGTCGTGGAAAGTTTTAGCTGAGCCGACCCAAACTTTCGCCCGGCTCCGCTGCCGCCGGGCGGCCAAGGCCGGGGTTTCACCCTGCCCGGGCCCGGCTGTCGCTTTGCCGAGGGCCCGCTCGGCGAGCGCCTCATCCCTCGGCGCAGCAGCGTGCGAGGCCACCAGTGTCAACACAATCTTTGGGAAACGTGAGTGAAATAAATAGGTAGTTTTTATTGTGACGCTCCTTTCATTAGCTGTGACAGTCTGGCTGAGGAACGGGGGCTTTCTTCCGAGGAGCCTTTCCTTGCGTGGAACTGCTCCGTGCCCCCAGGTGGGTGCCAAAGTGGAGCTGCAGTTATCTGAAAATCGCCTTTTCGGCTCTGCCTTCGCCATCCCTTTGTAGACAAGAGCCTGTATGGGAGGCTGCAGGCCCGCATCGTTCCTGTTAAACACAGGAGCCGATTCACCCAAGCTGCCCGACGCCTTTCCCCGGCCTCTTCGACGGCTGCTTTTGCGGAGCCCCTCATCCTTTGCACCGAGTTGGGCTCGGGACAACCTGTCACCCACTGTCACAGGGCTGTGGACACGTCCGCTCCTGCCAGCCAGCCGAGGGCTCGGCAGGGAGACAGGGCCGCCTCCAAGGGCGCTTTTATCGGCACGGGTAGCAAAAAATGATAAACCCCACAACTTCCACATGCCAGAAAGAAACACATTTTCCCGTATATGTCCATTACCGTGGCGAGGGCTATAGGGAGAAGAACCAAAATGACAGACTACTCCAAGTTTTCGTTTATTTCTTTCTTTCCTTCCTTTATTTTAAGATTTTTTTTTAATTTTTTTCTCTCCTTTTGGCGGAACTGCAATGTGCTTTCCCCTTAGAACCTGTAGGGTTTACTGAGACCGAAAGTCTGCCGCAATGAAGCTGCTACTCCGACTAGATTTTTCTTTTATTTATTTATTTTTTAAAAGGCATCATAGCGACCTTTGCCGCGATACTGGCCTACCTTCCCCATACCATCCAACCCTGGGGCTCAGCTCAGTTTCCCCGGTCTCACAAGTTTTTCCGTGGCGGGACTAGGGCTTCTTCAGGCGGCCAAAGCTCACCCGGGATTCCCGGAGGCAATTTTGCAACCCGGATCCGTGGGTTGGTCCCCCCGCCCTCACGTTATTTATTCACGGTTTTATTTATTTTTCAGTTTTGTTTAAAACCCGAATCTATCCCATCAGAGATGGCACTAAGCTCCTGTCTCGACTGAAAAAAGAAAGCCCGGCAGAGGATCACTGCACACAACTAAATTGAGACAAACAAAAGTTGCTTGTTGTTCCCTGATTTGGGGAGAAAGGAATAATTCAAAGCTTTTGCTGCGCGCAATGCACCGTTCCTCAAGGGGACGGGTCAAGGATTTCAGATATGTAGCGGGTAACTCGATTATGCTAACAAACTCCGCTTGCAAGAGAGCGCTGGTGGGTGCGGGGCGCGGAGCGGGGTGCGGGGGGCTGGGGGGCTCTGCTGGGAGCCCAGGGGAGCGGAGCCTCTGCCCCACGGATCTCCCCATGGAGCGGAGCCTCTGCCCCACGGAGCTCCCCACGGA